CTCTGGGTTTTCCAGCCCTCGCCATGAATCCGCCCAGAATCCCTCTCCAGGTTTTCCAGCCCTCGCCATGAATCCACCCAGAATCCCTCTCCAGGTTTTCCAGCCCATGTCATTTATTGATTATTTTCAGAGATACAGATCTCTATGGGGTTAAATCTGGCTCTTGCTAGTTTTTCTTTCAACTACGTGGTGATCACATTGATCTCATTCACCCAGGAACTGTTGCTTATAATTGGTTTCCGCACTGCATTCATGCATACCAGCTGAAAAAGACTTATAGAAAGTACAGTTTCAAAGAAATCTTACATGGCTTATGAGTAGACGTTGAGGGAGCGAAGAAGGAGGAGAGATGACTTGATAGAGGTGTACAAGATGATGAGAGGCATAGATTAGAGTGGATAGCCAGAGACTTTTTCCCAGGCCAGAAATGACTATTATGGGGGAGCATAATTTTGAGGTGATTGGAGGAAGGTGTAGGGGAGATGTCAGAGGTAGGTTCATTACACAGAGAGTGGTGGGCGTGTGGAATGCGCTGCCGGTGGTGGCAGTGGAGTCAGATACTTTAGGGACATTTAAGCAACTCTTGGATAGGAACATGGATGATAGTGAAATGTGGAGTATGCAGGTTAGTTTGATCTTAGAGTAGGATAATAGGTCGGCAAAAAACCGTGGTCTGAAGGGCCTGTACTGCGCTGTACTGTTCTGTGTTCTACGTTCTAGACATAATTGTACATCTTATGTTATTTGTGGCAAATTTTAACCACAGAAAATGAGTAAGTCTGGTTCAGTGGATAGGCAAAAGATTTTAAAATCAGAATCCTGACCCAATCTGGAATTTGCACCTACCCATTCACAATTTTAACTGGAGCGTGGAGATAAAGGGGTCACGCAAGTGATAAAGCTAAACTAAGGAAGTGAATTGGGACTATAATAGGGTTGTCAATCATATTGCTATTTAGTTTTTTGAATTAATCTTGTAGATGTTTAAAATTCTACAACATGGGAGGCATTCCCAATGTTTAGTGTTTCCTGTTATTTATCCCCTCTGCTTCTGACTGCAAATGTACAAGGTGCTGGTGAGACCACATCTGGAGTACTGTGAACAATTCTGGTTCCCTTTTCTAAGGAAAGACATCACTCCATTGGAGGCAGTTCAGAAAAGGTTCACTAGGATGATCCTTGGTACAGAGGGAATTGTCTTATGAGAAAAGGCTAAACAGGTTGGGACTCTGCTCACTGGAGTTTAGAAGAATGAAACATGATCTCATTGAAAGATCGAGGAATCTGAATGAACTTGACAGGGTAAATGTTGAGAGGATGTTTCCCCTCATGGAAGCATGTAGGACCAAAGGTGTAGTCTCAGAATAAAGGGGTGCCAATTTAAGACTGAGAGAAAGAGGAACTTCTTCTCTCTCTGAGTCTTTGGAACTCCTTGCAGCAGACAGCTGTGGGGGCAAATTCCTTGTATATATTTAAGACTGAGATAGATTTTTGATCAGTAGGGGAATTAAGGATTATGGGGAAAAGGCAGGAAATTGAATGCGAGAAGTGTTAGATCAGCCATGTTTCTATTGAATAGCAGAGCAGAATTCCAAATGGCCCGCTCCTATTTCTATTTCTTGTGGTCTTATTACAGCCTAATGGGCCAAATAAGTGATAATCCAGACCAAAGATACAAAACGTGCTGTGGAGCCTAAAATTGCCAAAACAAAAACGTTGCTACAGCCAATATTTAATCACATTAATTGCAGAGGAAACATTTTAAAATACACAAAAGTGGAGTTTTGTAGGAATGGTCAGTTTAGGAATTACTTAAGAACGGTTTGAAATCTGAAGATTAATTTTCTAACATGGCTTGGGACTTGTTCCCAAGAAGGTTTTATATTTGAAACATTATTTTGTGCATTTTTCAGAATCTTGGAGTCTGGCATAACTGCGTATTTCAAGTCAAAAATGGTTCTTTGTGGAATTGTCATAAATAAATATATTAATGGGTCTGCTTTTGTGTCAGCCATTCATTAGACTTGAACTTAGTCTTCAATAGGGATTTGCACTGGAGCTTCCTGTTACCTAACTATTGAAAATGCACAGTGACCTCCAGAGAGAATCTGGTACTTTTGGACAGGGCAAGAAAGTATGTCTCCTGAAGCAGTGCGATTGAAGAAATGTTAATAAATAGCACTAAGTCTGAATTAAAGTCAATGTCAATAGTTAAAGAGTGGAAAAGGGAAACTCGATTTAGGGAGTATGAAATTAAAACAAAAAACTGAAAAAAGACAAAATGAAATAACACATAAAAACAAGTAATTTGTTATTATTTTAGCCTAAGTCAGGAATGTGGCGTTCTCCACTCACCTGAATGTGTACAACTTCAAAAACATTCAAAAAGCTTGACACCATCAAGATAAAGCACCCCACTTGATTGACACCCCATTCGCTCCTTAAACATTCACTCTATCCACCATTAATGCATTGTGGCAGCATTATGTACCACCTACAAGGTATGTTGTAGCAACTCACCAAGGCTTCTTCAACAACACATTCCATTTCCCTGAAGAAGGGTCCCAACCCGAAACAGCAGCTTTCCTATTCCTCTGATGCTGCCTGGTTGCCGTATTCCTCCAGCTCCACACTGTGTTATCTCGGACTCCAGCATCTGCAGTTCTTGCTGTCCCATATTTTTGGTATATGTGTCACTGGAATGAGCACAAAACAACTCACTCCAAACCCACAATCTCTGTTACCCAGAAGGATTAAGGCAACATATGCATAAAACTCTATCAACTGCATGTTCCTGTCCTAGCCACACCCAATCCTGACGTGAAACTATAGCACCATTCCTGGTCACTGACTCAAGATCTCAGAATTCTTCTGCAACAGGAGTTTAAGTGACAGACCAGTGAGTGATTTTAATGTACTGTACTTGCAATACTGGAAGAGATGGTTCAGTTCTAGCCAATGATGCCAAAACTCCTGTGAACAAAAAAAAATACCTTCTAGCTAAAATCCTTCATCTCTAGAACTTATTTGATTAATCTCCTCTGCACCCTCTCAAGTACCCTCACATCCTTCCTGAAGGATTCCAAATAAGATAATTAGATGAAATACTGTAACCATGGCCTAACCAGAACTTTATTGCAAGTTACTGGAAGCTGTTCAATTTACACTTTAATAACAGTTATCACTTTAGCCTCACTGTTATTTTGAGCACATTATCTGGCCTTTGATAAAGGAAAATCACTACCTTTGTATGAAAAATGACAGTAATTGTCATGGCATTGGTAGAACATTAGAGAGTACAGCTCCCTTATTAAAAATAAACACCAGATTTAATGTGTTCATCTATGAAGGAACCCGTTTGCAATAAGAAGCAACAATAATCTCAACCAGGCATGCATTTAACATTCACAAGACAAACTGGCTCACAGTCAAATCTGACATGGACCTTAAGGCAGGCAAAGCAGAGGTCTGTTAGCTGGAAACAGTCTGCTGATTAAATCATTTTCAATGGAATACTTTTAAGCTGTAATACTATTGAGAAGATACTTTAGAACTGAACTCTGACAGCTCGTCACAACAAAATGTCATTTTTTTTTAGTATTTAATATTTTCCATATATGAAAGTTTAAAATAGAGAAATGGAGAATGCTTTTTTGATTGGCCTGGCAGACTGTCTATAAATTCAGATTTACAAATTATTATATTCTTGTCAATAATACAATTTACATTTCCCTGTTACATATGTATGTTGAAGTTAATGAATGGTGAAAAGAAAGGGGATCACATTGAGCACATAAATTGGAAAATCACTTTCAAAATTATAAAACAGAGGTGGCTCCTGTATTTGAGCAGAAACATAGGCCGGGTTTGTTAACACTATACCATGCCCAACATCTTAACCGGAACTGTATGCCACATTTATTTTCTCTGTTTTTGCCTTTTCCCACATGCTTATAATTAAAATTCTAATTTCTAACAGAAAGGTACT